GAAAAGATTAGTCCAAAAGACTAATGGACCACAGCTACCAAGGCCTCCACCAGACTGAGTCCAGTACAGCTAGATGGTGCCCGGCTACCACCACTGACTGCTCTGACCCAGATCACAACAGAGGGTTCTGGACAGAGCTGGAGAAGGATGTGGAACAAAATTCTAACACACACAAAAAAAGACCAGATTTACTGGCCTGAAAGAGACTGGAGAAACCCTGAGAGTATGGCCCCCGGACACCCTTTTAGCTCAGTGGTGAAGCCACTTCTGAGGTTTACCGTTCAGCCAGGGATTGGACAGCCCCATAAAACAAAACGGGACTAATGAGGCACAGTAGTCCAGGGACAAGGACTAGAAGGCAGAAGGGGACAGGAAAGCTGGTGATGGGGAACCCAAGGTTGAGTAAGGACAGTGTTGACATGTTGTGGGGTTGTTAACTATTGTCATAGGGCAATATGTGTACTGTTTAATGGGAAACTATTTTGTTCTGTAAACCTTCATCTAAAGTGAGAATAGCAGGACAACTGAAGAACGTAATCGACATCACTGAATTGTACATCTAGACATTTTTGAAATGCTGTATCTTTGGCTACGTATATTTTCACCAAAAAAAAAAAAAAAAAAGGTCCTCCAAGGCCAAGAAGGGAGCATGTTGACATGTCATGGGGTTGTTAACCAATGTCATAAAACAATATGTGTACTGACTGTTTAATGAGAAACTATTTGTTCTGTAAACCTTCACCTAAAGTACAATAAAAAAAATGCCACAGAGCTACCTCCTGCCTTGCAAAAAAAAAAAAAAAAAAATGCCTCCTCCTCCCCTTTTCTTTCCTATTGATTTAAGAAAAATGTCACCATTCCTCTGGAATAACCCTCCTCCCAGTTTCTCTTATAGTCTCACAGCGTGTTATGTAGTTTTATTATAAGCGCTTGTCTGAGTATATTGCCAATGTCTGCATGTCTGTCTCTCTCATTAAATTGAGTTTCTACAGAGTGGGCCTGTCTAGTACATCATCTTTTGCTCAGTGGCTATCTCAGTGCCTAGCAGAATCAACACTACAGTATATACCTGTGGAATGACTTGGAGTAAAATGTGCTGGCGTGGGAAGGAAGAGTGTGGGGAGTGGCTGCTACTAGGCTAGATGCTATGGAGGGACACCGGGCTGGTATCCTGGTCATTAACTGTAATGTATGACCTTGGCCCAGTTACACCCTATTTGTGTCCATCTCATCATCTGGAAAAAGGGATTCATTATGCCTGCCTTATATACTTTAGTAGGGTTTTTGTTGTGAGGCTTATGAGAGAAAATATGGGAGAAAGCACTTGTGTGACCGTCTGCAAACCTAAGACATTATCATTAAATTTATTTTGCAGGCACCAAGGGTTATGAGTTTACCTAGGAGACTGGGAAAGGTTTTGCCCTCATAAGTAATGCCTAGAAAAACAAGGGCACAGAACAAACTTTTGTTTCTCTAGGTTCCTGGAGCCCTTACAGTACAGAATCAGTACTAGCTTACCATGATGTAAAATCAGTGAAGTGAACCCTTTAACATTAACATAGCTGGGGTGGCTTACTTCAGGACTTATTTCAGTAAAACAAGTAGTAGCTTCTGGTCTTGGCTGAAGGGTAAGGCACTCCTGCCTGGAGGGAAAAGAAGGTGGGTCAATTTGGAGGACAGACAATGCAGTATTTGAAGACAACCTTGGCTGGAGTGTCTGACTTACAACATATTTGAGTTACAAGGAACCAAACTTACAACTGTCCTTTTTTTGGTTTTTATACGTTTTATCATTAGTAATATGTACTACATACAATGTTGCAGGTCATAATTTGCTGATGTTGTCGTTCTCAGATGTTCACTCACAGATGTTCAATTTTATGATTTACTGTTCAAAACACTGCTGTACAGATTTAATTTTCTAAACTAAGTCAGGGGCTTCAGTTGCTTGAAAACATGGACCCCAACACTGATGGCTTATGATGGCAATAGGCAGATTCAGGAAGCAGTGAGATGTTACAGCGAAATATATGAAGAAAACAAAGGAAAGGACCGTATATACAACTCTAATTTTTTGACTAGGAGTGCCATTCCCATTCCCAAGGATGATCCAGATGTTCCAGAACCTTCCATAAGTCGAGTTATTACTGCAACTGACAAGATACTGTTGACCAACTCTTCATCATCATTGGAGTAAATTTTTATGATTTGTGTATTTTTTTATGTATGTATGTATGAAAATGTATCCATTAACTTTCTGTGTAATGCTTCCAACTCTCAAAAACAAAGATGAGATTTACAGATACTGTAATAAAAATAAATAATAATGAAAACTAAAAAAAATGAGGTATTCTACTTATGTCAGAACTGACTTACGATGGAGTCATCAGAACCAAACCCCACCGTAAGTCAGGGACTACCAGTATTTGAAATCATTCATTCAGCTCAAAGTCTATTTCTTGCAGGAAGCTTTTCCCGACTTCCTCAGGCCTCAGAGAAACTGTATTTCTCAGTGGTTTAATAAGAGCTTGAGCCCTGGAGTTATACTTGAGTTTGAATCTTACTTGGGTAAGTTACTTCACTAAGGCTGTTCCCTCATCTAAGAGGATAACAATCACCAACCAGTGAGCCAGGAGGCTGAAATGAAACGCATGTGGAGAGTTTATCACAGTGCCCTGTGAGTACACAGTTAAGTCCAAGAAGATGGAAGCTATCAGTATTACACTGTTCTGGCTCTTTCCAGTCTGGATCACTCATTGTGTCTTTTTATCATAAACTGCCTCATACTGTCATATGACTATTTCAGGGTATATCTGTGATTTCCCTAGTTTTTTCAGCTAGCAAAGGGCTAGCATCCTGCTTCTGTGGGGCTTAGCATAGGGCAGCAGAGTAAGGCAGAGGACAAGTGAGCCTGGAGTAATTATTGATTTCAATTAACCAGTAAGGGGTTTAGAGGCTGAATGGTGGAAGGTTTGATAAAGGGGGTTGAGGAGTGAAGGGGTGGGGGTGGGGGGCTGTTGCCAACCAGCCAGGACCCAGCTTAATGGGTTTTCTCAGAAACTGAATGAAAGCTCCATCTCCCTATTCCACTTGAAGTAGCAGCCATATATCTCACAAACAGTATGCTGTGGGACTGGATGAAAGAAAAAAGTTCAAGAGAAATGTCAGTTGAGAAGCAAGTATCTCCAAAATCTTTTAATCCAAATGTTCAGTACTAATGCTTTTTCTAAAGATGTCTAAAAGCTATCATACCAACTAATTTGCCAAATAACTTCCTAGAGTAAAACATTCTGCTTATAGGGCTTTCTAGGGCAGGCTTCAGTGATAGTCTCTTCTCTCTGGACATACATTTAGTAGAAAGAGACATGTTTTGTTGAATTAATCTGCAAATTCAGCCCCTAAAACCTCTTCAACTTCTTACCAGGAGTCTTAAATTAGATGTGGTAACAGATGTGACAGAATTAGCTTTTTCCTAAAAAGCCTCAGGTTCGGTTTATATTGTTCAGACAGCTTCTTGTTTGGTGTGAAAATTGCAGGGTTCACAATGGTGAAGGCATAGCTGATGAAGCCATCAATTCACTAACATTCTGCTTTTTTCAATAGTGCACGATACAAATTGTACCTTCTTTCACTTCTTGGGTGAAACACTGAGGGTTAAACAGCACACTTTAAGTGGCATTAACAATTCTGTTACTTAAAAATTTACTCCCTTGAAATGGGAACTCTGTACTTTCTGCACAATTTTTCTGTAAACCTAAAACTGCTCTAAAGGAAGGAAAAAAATTCATCTCTACTTAAAGCCTCTAAGTAGCTATTTATTTGAAATGGGAACTCTGTACTTTCTGCACAATTTTTCTGTAAACCTAAAACTGCTCTAAAGGAAGGAAAAAAATTCATCTCTACTTAAAGCCTCTAAGTAGCTATTTATTAAAATAAAGCCCCAAATGGTGACCACAGAAATAGAGGGAAAGACACAGAACCATCACCATTGCCATTTACATGTCTTAATTTTTAAACTGAAAGCAACATGGAGGAGGATGCACTAATTGGACCCTGGCTCCAGTGGTGGCAACACTAGAAAGCCATTTCAGCTCGCTACCTATAAATTCCACTTTATCAGATAATTGTCTCAGAAAGCCATAGCTTGGTTGGAAAAGTATTGAGATCCAAAGTCCATTTCTTTCCAGTTTACATATCAAACTTTGATATAAAGCAAAGACATCTTAGTTTAACTTCAGTAGAAAAGCTTTATCTCTCAGGTGAATGGGGTTTTTCACTTACATTCAGAAATAACAATTTAAAACTTAATTTTTAAAAAGTAGGTATAAAAGGACTGCACTATTGATACATGTATCAAGGGCATTATGCTGAGTGAAAAAAGACAATTTAAAAAAGTTACATATGATTCTATATAAAAACAAAACCAAACCCGCTGCCAGTCAAATTGAATCTGACACACAGCAATCCTATAGGACACAGTAGAGCTTCCCCAATAAGGTTTCCAAGGAGTGGCTGGTGGATTTGAACCGTGGACCTTTTGGTTAGCAGCCAAGTTCTTAACCACTGCACAACCACAGCTCCAAGTAGTACATACTATACCCATACAGTATATAACATTCTCAAAATAACAAAAAACAGATTATCAGGAGTTAGGGTTGGAGGGAGGGTGTGATTTTAAAGGGGTAGAACTAGCTTTTTCGTGGTGATGGAACAGCTCTTTATTCTGATTGTGGTGGTGGTTACATGCATCTACAACAAATGATAAAATTTCATAGAACTATGTAGCAAAAAGCAAATGAATAAAAATGAGTGCGTATAAAAACTGGTAAAATCCAAAAGATCTAGTTTAGTTACTAGCATTGTACTAATGTCAATTTCTTGGTATTGAGAATTTACTCTGGCTGTGTAAGATGTTATCAGTATGCAGGGTAAAGGGTACACCTGAATTCTCTGTACTGTATTCATAACTTCTTGTGGGTCTAAAAAAGTTTTTTAAAAAAGTGGAAAGGATACGCTATAGCAGAGGACAAAGGAAAACAATCAATCTAGACATTTTTATTAAGTTCTATTAAAAATATCAAAATGTCTGAAAAACTCACAAAGTTTATAAAACACACTCACACCCAATAATTTTATTGTGATAATTAGTGCTGTGTTGAGGATGTTACATTAACCTACCAGACTGCAAAAGTTTTACTTCCAGAGAGATTAACAAACGTGCATCTTAATTAAGAGGAAATACACTCCTTGTTATAAAAGATCTTATTTAAAATAAAAAATAAAAAACTTGCTACTTAAACTCAGTAAGGATTGATTTGGCTAATTTAGTCAGGGTTATGATAACTTCATGTTCTTTTAGGTAATACTGGGTATATGCAGAGGTGCAACATGTTGGGGAACAAATTTACTTTTTAAAACGTACAGTATAAAACGGCTATTCACATGCTAAGTTGGACAGTGTCTGTTTACCAAATCTGTTTTAATAACTGATCTCAGGTTTTTTTTTTTTTTTTTAAAAAAGGTTTCACTGACTGAACGGCTCTATTTGAACAAGGAGAACTCAGCCCTGCCACTAGCCAGTCATCTCATAGACACTCAGATCACGTGTTCAGCTCTTTGCAGTCAGCTGCCACCAAGAAACAGATTGACCTCTAGAATGATCAAAACTTCCAAAAGGCTCTGGCTTCCCTAAGTATCTTGAGGAGATACCCTGCCCCTCCTGCCCCTACATCAGGAGGGCACTGAGTTAAGGTTTAAAATAATTTTGGCAACTGCCTGAGACGTTTTACATCTAAGAATGTGCCTACTGAATTCATGCTATTCATCTGCTTTAAAGTTTCAGAAGGTTGCAAACTTTCAGAAAAAATTGGAATGTCCTTTTTATTTTCTTTCTCAGGATGTTGGGTAAACTCTGCTTTACCAGTTCTAAGATTCACCGCAGGACTTGGTTTAAGGTTCTTTAATAAGAAAGCTGGGTTTTCATGCAACTGCTGTGTTGCCTTTGGTTGAACAACTTCATTTGTAATATTTCTCAATACTGGCATATCTGGGTGAGTGCCCACGAATTCAGAGTTATAACAATTGATTATTTCACAGGCATTCCTAGGAGGCTCTTTCTGACAAACAAGTTGTTTAGGTAAGGACGTAAGGTTTTGATTCAGTAAACGTTCACTCTTGCTATCTGTGTTGTTTGGAGGCTCGTCTTCATCTTCACTGTTGTCACTACTTTGTATGAGTCCATATCTCTTCATGTATTTTTTGGTTGCAAATGACATGTTGTTTGGTGAAATTAAACTAAGCCCCACTGTGCTTTTGTCTGTATTAATATGTAAAAGGCTAAAAGATGAGTCACAGTTATTTTGGTTTGATCGAGTAAGAGGCAGTTGTGACAGCTGATTTTCATTTAAATATTTCAGAGCTATAGCATTTGCCTCCATGCTCAGATCCACACCACTGGGGCTTAAGCCACTCATGCCAACGTTAGCAAACGACATGTGGTTTAATCCAGAGATCACAGCTTCAGGGCTGATGCATGCCAGCACACTGAAAAACACAAAGCAGGAAACCATCATTTATTTACCTTATTTTGAGTACTAAACAGTATTAATCTAAATGTGTTCCATTCTATGAAGTAATAAAAGGTTTTCAGTTTTAAGCTTCAAACTGCCTTTTACATGAGTGCTCAAACATGTAAGTCTTGATGATCCAGATATACCTTCAAGGGATAAACACGATAACCTAGAAGGTAATCATTGATTCACAGATTCAAAGTGGAACACAAGTTAATTTTCCTGTATTTATACATTAGCCATAGTTTTAAGATCAAACACAAAGCCCCAAACGTAAGAGCTATTCAATATTGTTGGGAGTCATTTAATTTACAACTATTAGCCCAAAATAGCACAACAAAACAGTTAATGTTTAATGTAAACTAAAACATAAAAACAAACAGAAAACACACTTGATGATTTAACGGTACAAACTTTGGTGAGTAGCTCAGAAAATTAAATTGTTCATCGTTGAAGAGAGTCCATGTATCGATTTGCAGTGAATAAAAAACATCAACCAGTCTCTGTCTGTCTACAGACTAACTTTGCTTTCATTAGATATAATCTTCAACTCACTTTAGTTAGTGTTAACTCAACTGGCTTGCCTTTTTCCTTTATATTTATGCATACAATAATAAAACAAACAAAAATCCAAACCAGCTGCCATCGAGCTGATTCCAACTCATGGCAACCTCACGTGTTTCAGAGTAGAACTACACGCCACAGAGTTTTCAACGGATGTGATCTTTCTTCTGAGGCGCCTCTAGATGGATTTGAACCACCAACCTTTCGGTTAGTAGGCAAGCACTTAACCATTTGTGCCACCCAGGGACTCCAGACACAATGACAATGGCTGTTTAATTCTTACTGAGGCCTTACTATGTGTCAGGCACTCTGCTAAGTGTTTTACATGCATCATCTTATTTAATCCTCACCATAACCCTTCTTCATTAAATCTTCCTTGTCTAATATTTCAACCTTATTCTCTATATCAACACTGCACATTGCCCTTCCCCTCTTTTCTCCTTAGCACTTTAGCACTTATTACTATCTAACTTACTATATATGTAATTCACATTACTTATTGATTGTCTAGCTCCCTCATTAACATACAAAGGCAGGATTTTTGTCTGCTCCCCCCACTCCCTACTGCAGTATTCCTGGTGCCCGGAACAGTGTCTGACACATAGTAGGCAATCAATAAACATTTACTGAATGGATAAAAGTAGTAGATACTTTTATTATCTTCATTTTACAGATACAGTTTTTGAGAAAACTGAGGAATAGAGATTTTATCTAACTTCTCCAAAGTTGAACTTCTAGGCAAGCTGAGACTCAAACCCAGGCCACCTTACTCTAGAGCTCTATAAATCACTGCTTCACTATACTGTATTCAGCAACTTATATTCTGCTAACAGTTTTTCTGTTCCTCAAGAAAGTAGCGTCCTTTGTGCACTATTTGTTGTGATGAACATTATATTCTAGTCAAAACAGAATATGCTATGACTTTCCATATCATCCCTTGAAAAAATATAGCTGTTTCATAATGACCATCACTGCCTGCATCCATATTCCACAAAACCCAAACAATTGCCAGATATTCCCATTCTCTTAAGAAATTTTAAAGAAGCAATTCCCAACCATTATATTCCCTGAAACCAGTGATATCGCTAACCAATGAACAGTATGCTTAATAAAGCTGATCTTTATAACTATCTTGGAATTCTCCCTTCTGAATACTTTACACTTTGGAGACTATTTTAATAAGATGGAAGAGATACTACCAATTTATCTAGACATTATTCTTTTATGATCTATTCATAGTGATGATGCCTTCAAAATATGTAGTCTTTTTCTTTTTACTATTTGCTTATTTCCTCAAATCATAAATCATATGAATATCAAATCAGAAAACTTGTACACATTAAAATAATTACAAGTATAATAACTATAAATAGTATTAACATAAAAAATTAACAAAAGCAAATCAAAACTTCTAATTCAAAACATTAAATGCTTTTAAAAAGTAGGTTTGATTTTAACTATATCTTCCTTTATTGAATGGTTGAAGGATCTATAAACAGTCAATACTTGTTTATAAGATTCTTCAAGTTTCACTGTCTAACACAGTTAGTGATTTTCAATATGGGGGAGGGAGTGTGACCATTATTTTGAAGGCAAAACAAAGCAGTAATACTCAGAGCCAAAGCACATTAACACTGGGGCAATTAAGATGAAAAGCAAAAGGATGCCCTTCCACTAATCAAATCCTAAAACCCTTGAGCACAAATATACCATGTTAGAAACTCATTAGATGTGCAGTCACAATAGACGACAGGATGATGCAAGAACATGACTAAGAGTGTCACATGTCAACAATTAAGAGAAGCTCAAAAATTATTCTAAGAGGAAAACTAACCTTGACTCACTGTCCACTCTGAGCCCAGATTAGTGATCTCGTACACAGCATTTTCAGTAAGTAGAGAGCCAGAAAGCAAGGCAAAGAAGCCACTAGAGAAGATTGTTTAATACATGCTTTGAATTCAAAGGTCACTCCAACTGGGAACCTGCCTGTAGAGGCTGCTGCCAGATCTCATATCCACAATTTCTATCTCCCCTACCATTTCTCTGAGTATGTCTGGGGCCCTCTTTCCCTGCTTTCCTGTCACTAAACTCTCTTAATTTCTGCAGTGTCTGGAAGAGGAAGGTAGAACAGAAATTTCTCTCCCCTGCCTCAGCCATTCTTCTGGTGGGAGGGTTGTATTATTTTTGTAATCTGAAAACAACAACAAATAAAACATACTAGCTTTTATAATAGAATTTCCAAATTTTACTCAGGGCTTCAAACCGGCTTGAACCGGTTCAATCATGGACGAGGAAGCGGAGAAACTGGAACATACTTGAATTTTTTCAATTTGGGTGATCTGGAACGGGAAAAATAACAGGTCGAAGCCCTGGAAAGGGAGACTTGGAAGAGGCATAGTGAACTCTTTTAGAAGCCTGATGTGTGAGACTGGATTATTGCCAGGACTGAGAGGAGCGACACATGTCAAGAGCAGTGCAGTCTCGTCTGCCATCTTTGAGCAGGGCACTGCTGTTTCCAGCTCTGTGAAGATTCCAACACGCAAGAGAGCTGGCTGCTATGCAACGCACACGCTGGCCTTGTCTTCTAAGGAGATTAAGTTTCTAGCAGAGCTTCAACCTGTAATTTTTCCCGTTCCAGTTATAGTTCCAGGTCACCCGGATTTTAAAAATTCACATCTGTTCCGGTGTCACCTCCTTGGCCATGACTGAACTGGGAAGAACCAGTTCAAAGCCCTGATTCTATCCTTCCTAGAAAAAGGAATGTTTTTAGATGGCAAAACTGTATAATTGTACATCCAGTAGCTGGCACAAACCCTTTTACTTCCAAGAGGAATTTTTACATACCGCCAGCAAAAATTCATTTCTCTTTCCTCAAAACTGCCAAAGCATTTTGTTGGCATCTCTACCCAGGACACATCCCACAATCTCTCTCAAATTACTTATGTATGTATCCCTCTTGCCTTCTAAAATGAAGAATCTAATCATCAGGCATATAGCAAGCCCTGAATAAAGGATGAATCAACTGAATTGAAGGCCAACATATCTTTTCTTAAGAGACTGCTGCAATACATCTAAAATTTATTCATCTTTTAAAACAGATTTTAAAAAGTTACCTGGCATGATCCACTTTATGTGCGTTTTTCTTCACTTTAGTAGGAGAATCAATTTTTACTCCAAGGCTTCTTAGTTGCTTAAGGGTTGCATTAAGAACACAATCTTTGTCCACCAATCCTGAATCCTGTTTTTTTTTCTTTGTATGGTAAACATTTTGAGTCCTGGTGCATTCATGGCTGATAATTACTGCTTTGGTAGATGGTTTTTCAGTTTCTTTATTTCTAGAGTTATTTAAAAGGTGGTTCACTTGACCCTAAAGAAAATAAAAAGGACACATCTGAAAAATCATTAACAATCTTAGAAAATAAAAACATAGACAATAACAGAAGAAAGGCTAGGGAAAAGCAAAATACTATCTCGCCAAATTGCACAAAGAATCAAGTACACTTGCAAGTATTACAAGGTTTTTGTAAAAGAAGCCCACTCTAACGAATGTTTTCATCAGACCTTAGAGGAAATTTAAAGTGTTTGTTCAGCATACGTTCATTTAAAAATGAACATATTTAAAAACATTTGAGTAATATTCGAAGTGCTTTCAAGGATTTATGCTGAATTCTTTATAAACCAAAATATTAAAGCACGCTTTCATTTTCAAAAATGTTTCAGAGTTATAAATTAGACCTTCATGATACTTTCAGAATTGGGCTCTTTCTTTTCTCTTTCTTAAAAACAAGGGTGACCTGTGTTACTATCTCTGCGTTCCTAGTATTAAAGCATATTTCATTCCCTGAGAAATGATAATAATAATCTCCTTGTAAGCATGGATTATGTCCTATTTGTCTTATGTCTCACACAGCTGCATGTACCAGTCTAGGACTCAGCAGGCAAATAACAAATATGAACACACAGACCCCTATGAAGTATTTTTAATTAGCCTTCATCTACAAATGGAGAAATCAAATGTTCCAAAGTCTACAAATTGGATAGGAGTCAAAGCCAGGATCATTCAACCTTTAAATCTCAGTTCACATCCTAACTTTTCCGAGACAACTATTTCCCTCAACCAGAATGATCTCTTTCTATTGTGTTCCCTTTGCTTTTAAAAGCACCTCTCAACCTGCCTTATAATTGTTTATTACTGATGTCCATGTGTTACTTCCCCTAGGTTCTTGAGGACTGAGACTGTATTATCCACTTTACTTAGTCCACTTTCTTAGATTAAGCTACATATCCAATAAACACCTGCTTACCTGAATTCAAATCAGTATATATTATCATAAATATCCCACTACTTTCCAGTTTTCAAACCTACTACAAACTCTTGCTTGTTTTTATCTGGTACTAAATTTAGTTTGAATTTGACATAATATCACCTCTTACATTTTAAAAATAAAGCTTTTTTTAATTTTTTTCCTGGCTGAGTACCTGATGACTGGCACGTTCACAGTAAATTACTGAATTTAGTTTATCATAATTTTTGAATAGTTAAAATAAATATACTATATATTGTTAATTAGGCAAAAATCTTTTTATCTGAAGATCGCTATCAGTTTAAACCTAGGTAAGTGCCCTATACTAAATAAAGATCTCAAGAAGATGAAATGCTCTACATTTTTTTTTTACCAACAAATCCTGGTAAATTTTCTGGTTGTCTGATGGTTGATGAGGCAAGGGTTGCATTACTAGCTCAATTTTTGGCTCCCCTGATGTCACAGAGTTGTCACTAGCACCCTCTGTCGGTCCAGTCTGTAAGCATGTGCTTACACTCTCTGCCAAGATGGAATTCGGAAGGAACACAGGCACATCAGGTTCTTTTCTCTCAACCGGAGAAGAGCTGTTTGAAAAGACATATAATGCAAATGTTAGTTATCAAGGTACCTTTAACATATATTTGAAGTGCAGTAATGATGGAAGAAAGGAGATAAGACTCAAGCAGCATTCTGGTTTGTATTTTCAGCTCTTAGTGATGCTATATAAGCATCCCATCTTGATAAGCTGCATATAAACTAGACCATGATACTATTTGAAGTTATGTTATTTATAATATATTTAGACATCTTTATTTAAAGGCTGGAAAATATACCTCCCAACCTGTTTTCTCCTGAACTAGATACAATAAAAATTTTTATAGTACTCAAAATATTTAAAATACATTATTTGTTCACTTTAAGTTTTAAGACATACATAAGATTCCAGTCAAATGAAAGTTCATAAACTGCCATTTGTAATTACGTATACTTGGTGATATTTATTTTCTTCTTTATGCTTTTATGTATTTTCCAAATTTTATATAATGAGCATGTATTACTTTCAAATTTAGAGAATAAATAATACATATTTTTTAAATAACTAGAGAAAGCAGTATTAAAAATATTTTCCTTGTTAGAATAGCAATCTGTCTATTGTAGAAAACAGAGAAAATAATAAATATTAGTAAAATGTTTATCATGGGCTAGGCACTATTGTAAGTGTATCATCTCATATAATCCTTACCAAAAAAATGTAGCAGGTAAGATACTATATATTATTCCCATTTAAGAGATGAGGAAATAGAGGCACAGAAAGGTTAGAAAACTGCTCAAAGTTACACCACGTAGGAAGAAAATAAAAGCCAAAGGTAATTTAACACTCAAAGATAACCACTGTTAACATTTTAGAGTGCTTCCATCTATGTATTTTTTGTAGATATATGTATGTTTTCTCTGCAAAACTATACCATACTATTTGTAGTTTTGGAAGCTGCTTTTTAAACCCTAATATTATATCAAATGCATCTTCTCATTTCATTAAATATTCTTAAAAACAAATGTTAATGGTTACATAGTATTTCTTTTCATGGGTATATTATGATTTTTCTGACAACACCTCTTCTTTAAAATTTAGGTTACTTTTATTTTTTTCAACATTGTTTAATTTTAACTTGATACGAAATGTCAAGCACAGTGTTGGTATATGGTAAGCTCAAAATATTAGCTGAAATGAATCTCTGTAAAACACCAGTCAAGATAAAATTCTAAGAAAAGATTAACAAATTTTAGTATATAAAAAGTAAAAATTTTTTACATGGCAAAAAAATCATAAACCAAGTTAAAAGACAACTGATAAACTGGGAGAAAATATTCGCAACATATACCGCAGGAAAAAGAGTTAACATCTCTTACAAAGAACTTTTTAAATATTAAGGGTCAAAGAACCTAAAACCTACAGAAAAATGGTAAAAGATATAAACAGACAATTCATAAAGGTATAAAATGGCCCTTGATAAAAGTGTTTAAACTTATTCAAAATGAAAATTAAAACACTGAGATCATTTATCACCTAGCAGACCGGTAAAAAAAAAACAAAAAATATGATAATGTATTCTTTTGGAAACAGGTAATCTCATGCATTGCTGGTAAGACTGTAAACTGATACAATCCTTCCAGAGGGAACTTTGGCAATACCTAACAAAATTACATAGCACTTAACTTTGGGCCCAGCACTCTCACCTCTAAAATAATTTAAAAATACATATGCACAAGGTAATTCACTATAGTATTGCTGGTAATGGTAAAATACTGGAAACAACCTAAATGCACATAAATAGGAGAGTGGTTGAGTAAACTATGGTACAGCTTCACAATGGAATACTATGCAGCTTAAAGAAAATGAGGAAGATCTCCAGGAACTGGTTTGGAGTGGCTTTCAAGATATACTGTGAAGTGAAAAGAGCAAATTCAAAAGTGTATCTAGAGTATGCTACCCTTTATGTAAGAAAAAAAGGAATTTAAGAAAATACAGGAAGGATAAGTCAGAACTAAAGAGACTGGTTACCTAAAGAGCTGGGTGGGAAAGGGGTGGAAAGAATGGGCAGTAGAGAATGGGGTGGCAGAGATGAGAAGGGAGGGACATGTTTCTGAATATATATGCCTTTTCATATAGCTTTGTCTCTTAGAACCACAGTAATATTTCACATACCCAGAAAACAAAATCAATTAGGATTCGGGGGACCCCAAAAATAAAGAAAGGGGGCACTGAATTGGAAATGGAAGATCAGTATGAATTCAAAATAAATACAGATGTGTGCATATGTATGGTTTAGCATACACACACATATATTTCCTAGCCGTCTGTTAAGAAGGTTTAGAAACACAGATACACCTAGGGCATATCTAGAGCTCAGATCATGATTTCTAAATATCAATTCTCAATAAAAGGAAGCAGTCCCCTTAATTTCTGTTGTTGATTCCAGGGCTGTGGCTGGGAAAATGCAAGATGAGCCTGGGACATCTTGTGGTGGTAGAAAATTATTATCAGAATGTGCTCAAAAAAGGATGGGGCATGTCCAAAGGAAACAGACCACAAACCCAAACCCACTGCCATTGAGTCCACTCATAGTGACCCTGTAGGACAGAGCAGAACTGCCCCATAGGGTTCCAAGGCCATAAATGTTTACAGAAGCAGACTGTCACATCTCAGGGCGGCTGGTGGTTTTCAACCACTAACCTTTCAGTTAGCAGCCAAGCGCTTAACCACTGTGCCACCAGGGCTCCTTAAAGAAAACAGAAGCCAGTCTGAAAGAGTTCCCAATGGCCAAAACTAGAACAATTTGAGTAACAAATTGGTATGGAATTATAACTCATAGAATAAAATAAATATCCAGGAGTCCATACTGATATAAATTTTAAAATGAATAAGTAAAAAAATATGTCAGAGAGAAGAATTCCGATTTATAAATGTAAAAGGAATAAGGAAAATACAAAATCACCATCAGACAAATACTTTTTAATAAGTGCTGCAGGCAGGATTCACAGATGCTAAAATCAGTGGCTTAGGAGCTTTGTTGTTGTTAGGTGCTGTTGAGTCGGTTCTTACTCATAGCGACCCCATGTGCAACAGAACAAAACACTGCCTGGTCCCACACCATCTTCACAATCGTTTTAATGCTTAAGCTTGATGTTGCAGCCACTTAGTCAATCCATCTCATTGAGGGTCTTCCTTTTTTGCTGATCCTCTACTTTACCAAGCATGATGTCTTCTCCAGGGACTGATTCCTCCCGATAACATGTCCAAAGTATTTCAGATGTAATCTTGTCATCCTTGTTTCTAAGGAGCATTCTGGTTGTACTTCTTCCAACACAGATTTCTTTGTTCTTTTGGCAGTCCATGGTATATTCAATATTCTTCGCGAACACCATAATTCAAAGGCATCAATTCTTCAGTCTTCCTTATTCATCGTCCAGCTTTCACATGCATATGAGGCGACTGAAAACACCACGGCTTGGGTAAGGGGCTCCTTAGTCTTCAAGGTGACATCTTTGCTTTTCAACACTTTAAAAAGATCTTTTGCAGCAGCTTTGCCCAATGCAATGTATCTTTTGATTTCTTGACTGCTGCTTCCATGGGTGTTGATTGTGGATCCAAGTAAAATGAAATCCTTGACACCTTCAATCTTTTCTCCATTTATTATGATGTTGCTTATTGGTCCAGTTGTGAGGATTTTTGTTTTATGTTGAGTTGTAATCCATATTGAAGGCTGTGGTGCTTCAAGTGCTCTTCACTTTCAGCAAGCAAGGTTGTGTCATCTGTATAACGTAGGTTGTTAATGAGTCTTCCTCCAATCCTGATGCCCATTCTTCTTCGTATAGTCCAGCTTCTTGGATTATATGCTCAGCATACAGACTGAATAGGTATGGTGAAAGGATGCAACCCTTACGCATACCTTTCCTGACTTTAAACCACGCAGTATCCCCTTGTTCTGTTTGAACAACTGCCTCTTGATCTGCATACAGGTTCCTCATGAGCACAATTAAGTGTTCTGGAAATTCCATTCTTTGCAACGTTATCCATAATTTATTATGATCCACACAGTCGAATGCCTTTGCATAGTCAATAAAACACAGGTAAAC